AGTGGGAAGCGATGAGGATGTGACTCAAGGGCTGCGAGGAGGAAGTGAGACGGAAGAGGCCATAATCATCGAGTCAGATGACGAGGATGAGGAGGAAAGAACGGAGCCTCTGTCTTATTTGAGAAGATGGAGGACTTGCTGGATAAGATGGGGAGGTACCAACAGAAGTTGGTAGGCCTCTGTGAAGAAGTGAAGGGATGGAGGTCTAACGTCCCCACAGTATTCCTATGACTCCGGCCTGGAGTCAGCGCCTGGGCGATCCGGAGTAAATGTGGTGGGGTCGTGCCCTCAACCAGGAATGAGGGGGAGACCCCTCACTCCGTAGGCCCGGCTGGCACAGGCAGCGCGAACGAGGAATCAAGCCAAGGCCAGTATCAGCCAAGAGCCTCCAAGGAGGGAACACGAACCAGGGAGAAGGAAAGAAACTGTGGAAGTAGAGGACGACGATGATGAAGAGGAAGAGGACCAGAGGCTGCGCAGAGAAGAGGATCAGAGMGCGGAGCAGCGGGCAAGGAAAAAGGGAACCAGGGGAGAGGCCGAACCGGTCATACATGACGGACCGCCCAAAAAGAAGAGGTACGYGGTCCGGTTGGAAGAGGGATTTGACGTAGAGAAGGTGATTGACCGACTGCTGGAAGGGCATAATGACCTCATAACCCTGAAGGAATTCATAGCGTCAGCCCCGCGACTCCGCGATGAACTAAAGGGGAGGTTATCACGGCGCCTGGTGCCCAATGTCCATCTGGGTACGATCCTGCCCAAGGAGGCAGAGTGGGCAGAGTCAGGTACGAAGATGGACTGGAAGTGCATAGCCTGCGATACGGTGGATTTGATGGTGAAGGGTTCCAAGTGCGCAGCAATGGTGGACACCGGGGCAGAGATGAACATTATTCGGGAGGCGGACGCGATCAGATCCGGGTTGGATATAGACCGTTCTGACTGTGGTATTCTGCATGGAGCCAGTTGTAAGGCCATGTTTTGCGGGACAGCCTCGAATGTGCTCGTCGAGGTTGGAAAGGTGAAGGCCAGGGCGTGCTTCTTCATAATGCCAGACGTGGACCATGGAATCCCTCTGGGGAGGTCATTCCTAAGCAGGACAGAGACCGTGATGTTCAACAAACATGATGGGACGTTGATCCTCCTCTTATGCGATCCTGCCTGTGGGAATTATGAAATAATTACTTGCAGGAACACCGGGCCAAGGAGTATAAGGAACCGGCCCAATCCAGGATCATTCACAGTCGAGGAGTCGGAAGGGGAGCGCAGGAGGCTCTGGGCAGAGCCCGAAGCAGGAGAGAGGGTGGAAGCATTTTTCCTCAGCCTGTCAGATGTTGGGAAGGCCATGGACCTGGTGGCCGCGCATGAGATGGCAGATCCGGATGCCATCCAGGCCTTGAGGGAACAAGTTCTGGAATGCCCTGAGGCRGGAAGGTTGGAATTGGTATATCG